ATATAAACAAAACGAAAGATCGTAGGATAAAAAGGGTTTCGCCATGTTAAAGAGAATACATCAAAGGTTCGGATTCTGATAAACATAAAAAAAACGGATTTCCAGCAATTTTTCCTTATTTTTGTGGCATAAAATGACAACCAGAAGTGTTTTAGGAATCGGGTTTGCGCAACCCCAAATGACACAGTACGGGAGACAGTCGATTGTATACGAGCCCTGGTAGTTTTATCCACAGAACAGGCTCGTTTGTCAAGTGCAGTAAACCCACTTGCCGAAAAAACCGAAGCTGAATTGTCAATGAAAATTGAAGTGTCTAACGATTCAACAAAGTGAGTGAATGAGCTGATTCTAACCGACATAGGAGTAACGGTAAAACAAGACTGAGGTCAACGAGACCACAGTCACGTTGTCTGCGATTGGTTGACGCAAAGAAAATGTTTAAACCCTTTTGGATCATATTTTAAAGGTTCGAGAATAAACCATGATAAACGGAACAGAAATACTTTCGAAATAGGCAAGCAAAGGTTTTCATTGAAGGAGCTTGCGAAAAGCGACAAACTAGGAGAGTAAAGGGCCCAAAGCAGGTTTCCAGTGGATGGCTATGTACTTTGACTTTTTACTGTATATTACAACTACGTAAATTGCAGTTATGTTATACTGTTGATATGTATATCTAGCACATATTCAGAATACGTCTCGATACCTCTCTCTAATCTCGCCTGCTCTCCCCCTCTATCTATTCACATCTCTCTCGTCCTCCTTTTTCCTCTCTCTTCCCTTCTTTCTTCGCCTCTCTCTCAATAACTTTTCATGAAAGCGATATAACTAACCTCTTGTATAACTTGCTTCTCAGGGCATATTTATGTTCTTTTTGTGCTTCTTCTTTGTCTTTCAGTAATTTCTTTTTCATTGCTAAGAACTCGGATTTCTTTACTAATCCTGTAAAATATAAATATAAATATTAATGTTTTCGAGAAATAACTGAACTAAAAAATGTAGAAAAATATATATTCAATATTGTTTTCTTACTAAAATAAGCAAGGAATATATCCTGTGTCATTTCCACATTGTTTTGTTCTTCTTCCTCGATACGAGGTTGCTGGATACGAGGTTCCTGGATACGAGGTTCCTCGATACGAACTGCCTCGATAGGAACAAGTAGCCTGAAAATGGTTCATAGAAATAGTACCATTACATACTCAGCACCTACTCATACAATTAATTAATATTATCATGTTTTGATAGTTATTGTTTATTCTTAAACAGTTAACGTAAACCTGTAATTTCCTCATATTTCCAATTGCTGTGTCCTCAAAATTTAATCCAGGGAAAAATGTAAAGCACGATTTACAAAAACAAGAAAGAAAGAAAAAATAAACTAGAAGATGATGATAAAACTGAAATCGGCTACGAAAAAAGTATAGGATTTACAGGAGAAAACAACCGCATAGAAACGTCTCAGAGAAAGACAAAAAGATCGTAGCACTTTGGAAAAAATGTAGCTCTTTATCGTGATACTAATTGAAATTATAGAGAAAATCGAAAAAAAACAAGGTGCGGAAGACACTTGGAATGACAATTTCATTGGGGGAAAAAAGAATATCCCGTGATCTAACTTTAATTAGCATCTTACTAAATGCTCTCAACCGGGCAAATCAGATTAACAACTTGTCGAATGGCGAGATTGAAGCGAAGCAAAGAAAACACAACTGTGAGGTGAAACAACAAAAACTGTGAGGTGGTGAAAAAAAAATATCAAAAGGTGATATACGCTCAACGCCCAAAAAGAGCATATGAGACGTGTAGCGGATAGGATGCAACAAATTAAAAAGTCTATTAATGTACAAAAATATGAATTGATAGAAATATCCTAACACTCGATCTTTTCGAAATAAAAAACTTTATTTATATAAAACGTGTCGCAACAATAGTGCTTGTTGCAATGTGTTGGAGTCGAACATAAGTGCCTGGAGGAAATCAAAGATTGAAGCACGTGAACGGAAGGTGTATGTACCTGACACAGACATTTGCTTTTAATTAAATTACTTGAATTGCTTACATTTTTATTATAATGTGTTTAGAATTTTGGAAATTATATTTCCGTCATTAGATGTAGGTGCAGCCTCCAGCCTGTTGGGGCATCAGCCGCCACTGTTGTGAAGAGTACTCAATTATATTCTGTATTTTTTTTTTATTTTTAATCGTGTATTTTTAATGTATTTTGTCGATTTATATCTCTCTGTCTCTCTTTCTGTCTCTCTCTCTGTCTCTCTCTCTCTCTCTCTTTCTCTCTTTCTCTCTCTCTCTCTCTCTTTCTCTCTCTCTCTCTGGCTGTGTGAAAGTTTATCGATTATTATATTCTTTTGAGTCAAATACAATTACTTACGGAATTGGCTCGTTCTTGCTTTCCTTATTAACCCTTTTCTTCTTGGGTTCACCTTTCTTCCTAGTGCTGACTGTCGTCTTGGTGCCTACTTTTGTATTAGTCCGCTTGTCTTCGTTCTTAGAATTTTCGGTGCTCTTAATCCACAATCTCCTTTTCTTTGTCTGGGAGGAATATATTAGATTATTTTTCTTTTTACGTTATTTACATAATATATTTATAATGATTAATATTTTAAATTTTTTTACACAATACTTAAACAAAATGTATACCTTTATTACGAACTTACGTATTACAATTGTAATGAACAACCTTTCATTCACTTCCTCTCATTCCTAACAACGGTGTTTTCAAGGATTTATTGCAAGAGGAACAATTTTTAATGTGGTTGAGTATGGCTTGATTTTTTAGTTTTGGGGAAATACTTGAAATTGTCATTCGCTTCACCAACGTTCTAAAGAATACCAACAAAACATTTTGATGTCTGCATATTATTGCACGAATACGCGCATTCCGTTTTTAACTTTGTCTTACCTGATATGAAAGATGCTCATACAATTTTAGAAGTAATATAACCGGAGTGACAATGCAGAAATTAGAATATGATTTTATTTATTTCAAGTACTAAATATGTTCACCTCACACATCATCACATCTTTTGAACCTTGCGTGATATAATTTTTTTATAATTTTCCAAATCAGCTTGATCGTTTCCTTTAAAATCACATATTTTCATTCTAAATGTATGAAAAAAATAGGCTTGAAGAAAAAGGGGCAGCCTTTTGTGTAATCGTCGAAACTTGTAGACAGTGCTCTCTACAAAAAATGAGTATGTGGTCTACAGAAATCGATAAGCCGTCTATAGAAAATGACAGGGATGAAAATAATTATTGGTTGGTAAGAGAAAAAGAGTCTCCTCCATATTCTGATTTCAAAAAACTTAAAAAGATATCCGTGGAGACTGACAACTTAGTTGCAGTACAACTGAATCTTTCGGAGTATTATGTTTACAACTTGCTCCAGTAACCTCCATCGACTTTGAGAAATCATCCTCTTAATTGGTTGTTTTGTCTTGCAGCAAGTTCAATTTAACAACAGAAAATTTAAGAAAACTTATGTTTTAGGTATCAAAGGTGTTCCGAAATTCAACATATTTTGTAATAATATTCTTTTTCATTCATTTTCGTTATACGTTGTTAAAAGTGTTGCGAAACCCTAATTTTATACAGTATACATATTTTATCACTACCATAACTATTCTACTGCACAACAAGATCATTCATTGAAAAAAGATAGAGGTAGACGTACCGGCCCCTTGATTGACGACTCAAGCACCATGTTGTCATTCTTGTGGTGGGTTGCCCGGGACTTGTCGGGTGCTGCTAAACACGAAGAGGACCCCGCCCAGCTGGGCCCCGGCTGACTGGGCCATGCCCAGCTGGGCCCCGGCTGACTGGGCTCCGCCCAGCTGGCCCCGCTGACTGGGCCATGCCCAAGCGGCGCCCCGGCTGACTGGGCTCACGCCCAGCTGGGGCCCCGGCTGACTGGGCTCCGCCCAGCTGGGCCCCGGCTGACTGCGGCCATGCCCAGCTGGGCCCCGGCGACTGGGCTCCGCCAGCTGGGCCCCGGCTGACTGGCTCCCCAGCTGGGCCCCCGGCTGACTGGGCCTCCGCCCAGCTGGCCCCGGACTGACTTGGCCAAGTGCCCAGCTTGGCCCGCTGACGGGCTCCGCCCAGCTGGGCCCCGCTGACGGGGTTCCGCCAGCTGGCCCCGGCCTGGGGACTGCCATGCCCAGCTGGGCCCCGGCTGACGGCGCTCCAGCCCAGCTGGGCCCCACCTGACTGGCCTGCCCAGCTGGGCCCCGCCTGACTGGCTCCACTCCAAGCTAGGGCCCCACCTGGAATGGGCTCTGCCATCTGGGCCCCGCTGTCTGGGCCCGCCTGTTCTGGCGCTCGCCTGACTGCGGCTCCATCCAGCTGGGCCCCGCCTGACTGGGCCTCCATCCAGCTAGCCCCACCTGGAATGGGCTCCTGCCCATCTGGGCCCCGCCTGTCTGGGCTCCGCCTGACTGGGCTCCATCCAGCTGGGCCCCGCCTGGCTGGGCTCCGCCCAGTTGTGCCCCGCCTGACTGGGCCCCATCCAGCTGGGCCCCGCTCGGTTGGGCTCTGCCCAGCTTGGCCGCGTCCGGCTGGGCCCAGGAGCATCGCTGGGGCCGGCGACCTTTGCTTGTGCCCAGTGGGAGAGTGGGAGATCCCATTCATCCTCGAGGAAGTCCCTCGCATCTGCGAAAGGGAGATGAATGAAGGGGAGAGAAGAAAAAGAGGGGACATTTCGCCCATGACATGTGAACTACCTGGCAACATTCAGATTGTATGTGTACAAGCAGACACATTCAAACAACGACAATGTTCTTCGATGTAGAACCATACAAGTGACATTTCCGTCAGCTGCTACAGACCCTGCTAGATCAGTGTTCACTCATGAAAACGCGAGGATCTGAGAGAAATTGTTCTATCCTTCAATTATTTGTGTTGCTGTAGCAGTTAACAGAACGTATGAATAGGCAAGTGACACGTTATAAAATATTTCACAAAACAAAAGGGAAAATATGGCAGTGAAACTTGGTATTGATGTATTGTGTGTCGTTAATACTAGAACTGTCAAATTCCCAACACATCAGAGTGATCTTGGAGAATTTGGGGACTCACCGTCTGGTTGCAGCGGCTGCACATGATTCGCACAATCGGCCTGCACCTCTTCCTCGATCTGGACCTCCTCCTTCTGGGCCTCCGGGGCAACCGCCTGCAGATTGTCGGCTGAGATCACCAAAGACGAAGTCTCCGACAAGATGGTACTTACGCCACATGTTCCCTGCAAACAAAAATGTGCGGAGTGAGACTTGTACACAAGCAGATAGAGCCCCAGAACACCACCCACCAAGGTTCTTTTGATGATTAATGGATGTAACAACGACAGCCCAATTTGCCTGTTGATTCTAACGGTTTAGGGGTGCAATTATCGACGTGTATCTGTACGGAATCGCCCGCTGATCATTATTTCACACACGAAAACGTGGACTTGCCGGAGCGGCGATTATTGATTCTTAGCTGACCCAGAGACGCCGCGTCCTAAACTCTGTTGCCAACGTCTCGGTCGGATCACTGCGATTTTGTTCAAAGCAAATTGCGCAGATATTAACTCCACATGGATTTTAATAGGATTTACGGGCTGCAATCTACGGGTAAATAGCTATTCGCAAAATCAATACTGGAGGTGGATAATGACTGAATAAAGAGTTAATGAAAGTTTGACATCAGTTTATGAAAATAATTGAAATGTCTGTTGGAACCTTGTCATTCCAAAGTGTTGATCTATTGTCTCGCCCGTTCTTGCACTATCTCGAATCGGATATTGACTCCCCATTTTAAGTAGTCCGCAGTTTCTCTTGCGCAGTGTAGGAACCAGTACAATAATTTTGTACAAATATGTAAGTATTCGTGGATTATAAAATAGATGAATCGTCCAAATCCATCTCGTAAATATCCCCCACTCATAATATCAGGATCCAATTTCCTTTCTGACATCTTTAATTTTGATCTAATACCTTTCACACCAGTCTTTTCATAATGTGATTCAAATGCCGCGCCCGTTCTTTTATACACTGCAGCGCCTATGGAACCAAAGACAATTAGATATCACGGAAATGGAGAGGGGGATGAGCCACGTCGAACTCCTTGAGCTTCTGAGACATTTGTAAGGAAGGGATCGAAAGGGAGAATATTTACAATATTAGAAATTGTGTACAGGAAGGAAAATCTGTTATCAACTGATAACAACACCACCCGCTTAGGTGGCTCAGGGGATCAACTGATTTTACTGTAGTGTCTCTGACGGAGAGATTCTAGCGTTCGTGCCCCGATGTTGGCAGGATATTGGACACTAGTTACATACATAGGGGGAATTCAGCCGCTGTCTGAAAGACATTTCTAGCGGCAGGCTGCTCCGATGGATTAATTTCAAGCAGACCCGTCTTCTTGCAGCATAGAGCGTCTTCCGGGCGGGAGGAAAGATACCTAGCTGGTGGGAAACCCCGCAATCATTCAGTGAGGGAAGGAAACCGGCGTCTCAGGCGACATGTTCTTACATGCACGGCACTTACCGAACTTGTGATCGCCCTTAGCATTTGGTGCACCCAGAAACATCCATCAAAAATCTCCTACCTACAAAATACGAGTAGCGAGTGAAAAGAGAACTTGAGAATCTAAGAGGCGTACATGTCCCAACGCGAGTGTGGTCAGTAGACGCAAGCAGCTACATGTAGACGTACCTCCGTTGTGTGCGGGGCCTGGTGCGTAGTGACGTCCTGGGCGCCTCGGGTCTCCTCGCAGGGTCCGGGCAGGGCGGTGGGAGCAGCCGGCGTTGGACTCGTCTGGAGATCCAGCCCGTCGTTAGAGGACCTCTCCACTTCCTCCGTGGAGGCACTCGTCAAGGCAAACTTCTGAGGCGATGCGTTCGAAAAATCTAGGGGAGTCTCTGTAGAATCAGACGCACGTGAACAATCATAATTATCTTGCATGCATTATCCAACACGTAACTATTATGGTATGATAACTGCTACCGACAAAATTCGAGTAACGAGTGAAAAGAGAACTTGAGAATCTACGAGGCGTACATGTCCCTCGCAAATACATATTTTAGGGAAATAGTAATAAATGTCAAAGATTACCTAAGGCGCATGAAACCTGCTACAATATATTTGAGAAAACAACGGGAAAACGCTGCACACTACCTTAGCGACCATCATATTTGCGGCGACACTACTGCGAGGCTCTACCAAGAAGAACAGGATTCTTGAGGGGAACTTTGGGGCCTTACCTTGTTCAGTAGCAGACAAGCTTCTTCGTAGCGTTTTCGACTTTCCCGCAAAGTCTTCATTGCTTGATAACTCTTGCAGTGTTTCGGTAGTGGTATCATCCCTGGAACCATCATCATTCGATGCCACTGCAAGGGACGGAATTGCCGGGTTGGTGGTTGAACCATCGGTATTGCTGGCAACCGCTTTACTCTCCATGTAGTCATATCCACGTTTGCGGGACGACGTCCCAGCGCCTGTGAAAGAGAGAGTGGTTATGGGGAGTCCGAAAGCTGTAAAACAATTTCTGCCTCATGTCCACTCGAAAAATATAGAACGTCGGGCAATATAGATGTAGAGTCGGATGGCTGATGGCAAATATTTTACAGGGCTTACGGGGCTTACGAGAAGCGTTCTAACCAGAAAAAAACAAACTTATTTGTTGCGAACATTGTGATTACCTTGTTGAGTCATGTTCCATCTCCTCGCCAGGGCATTCTTCCACTTTCTAGCAGGAGAGACGTTCGATGGCACGTCCATCGTATTTCCACGTGTATTCTCAATGGTTTGGTCTTCATTAGCCGACACTGCAGGTGGCTGACCCTCCGGCACGGGCGCCAAGAGGGCGCTGGCATCGGCAACCGCTTGTCTCGTCGTGTAGTCGTGTCCGAACGACTCAACTTCCCCTGTGGAAGGGACAACGATAAAGGGGGAAGTGTGAAAGAAGGAAAAAAAGTCATATCGCGCGTCCAATCGAAAAACTAGGAAAGTTTGATATGCCTATATAGACGACGAAGACAGTGGTATTGTATTGCTTGATTGCTCAGTGACTTCGGGCGCGCCAACTGCTAAGGTCATTAGTCTCATGAGTGTAGTGAATGGCCCGTGATCCAGAGACGATGGATAGTTACTGTTGATAGAATTGATCCTTCGTAGGAGAAACTGATATTGGCTGCGGAGGGAGAAGAGCAGGAGCAAAGGAGGCAATGTAGCAAGGGGAAACAAAAACCGTGAACAATGTTAATCCGAAACGTTCATAATCTTTTCCAAAAACAATACAATCCACTTGATTTGGCTCAACTTCTTGCCTTACAATTTTAGTCTTTTTTTACTTATTTAAGGGTTTTAAACTTTTTGTCTATGCGACTATAAATTTTTCTTCGATTTTCCTGATTGAATATTTATATACCATATTACTTACAAACAGTATGAAACAGCTAGTTTTACAAAATTGCGAATAATAGCTTGACTTAGTGGAAGTGCGAGGAAAAATGTTCATTAACTTGTAGGACCTTCCCTGAATACTGGGATAAACGACGCCTATAAAAATTACTCTTTACTGATACGTCATTGCTTATTATTGCTTTCGATACACAGATCGATATTCCCTGCATAACCTACCTCGATCAAAAAGATCGTGCTGATGGAACTATGAAAACAGTTGAATGTTGCTACATGTTCTCTTATGGAGGAAATTGTAAGAGAT